TTGTACCTTTTTGCTCACACTCATTTTATTTATATTCTTGTTTTCCTTTCTTCACTGGTAGACTCTGGGCTGAACATACAAAAGCACAGGTTGCTCAAGGTATGACAGTAATTACTTTGGACACATAGTAGTTAGATGTTTGATAATTTTTTAAAAATGTGTCTCTATGAAAAATGGAAGTAGGAACCCAGTGGAAGCAGTATGACATCGATTAATGACCCCTCATTTTGTATGTAGTCGCTGCAGTTTTTAAGTAATGCCTTTGGCCGCTTGTGAGAGGCATTTTTCTTTGTGTGTGTGTCTTTTTGTTTTGTTTTGTTATGTTTTTGTTTTTGTTTTTTTCAGTTTGCTTGTTAAACAGATGGTTGAGGACTCATTTCACATGTAATTGAATGCACGTGAACCCTCGGAATGGGGTTGGTCTGTGTTACTGGTTAACAGGGATCAAATTAGTTCACCCTTTGTTGACGCAGTTTGAACCTGTAATTGGTTTCTTTATTGGCTGCTGTAAACCACAATGCAGTCAGCTCAGGTTATTCCATTATCTTTTAGGACAGGGCTTCTGTCCTGGGAACCTGAATAACTAAAATCACCAAAGGGTTTCCCATCTCTCCATCCAGGGTACTTCATCAACTGCACTCAACAGTACCGTGGATTTTGAGTTAACATTTTTCACTGACGGACCCTCTAGGGAACAGATGATGTTGCCTTCAGTTTGGATATCAAGAAACGAACTATGTGTTTCTAAAGAAAAATATATAAGTCCATCCTCTCATCCTGTATCCTGTAAAAGCAAGTATATATATTCTCTTACCATGACTCTTATGGTTTATTTTGTCATAGTTAAATGATGAAACTAATGCTACTACTACTAATATTGATAGTGTGAAAGGAGTTAGAAAAAGTTAAAAATGTTTTATATCTTTCTTAGTTTATATTTGTACTATTTTCTGTGCCTTTTTATTTATTGATTTGAGAGAGAGAGAGAGAGAGAGAGAGAGAGAGAGAGATCAATTTATTTGCTCCACTTACTCATGCATCATTGGTTAATTTTTGTATGTGTCCTGACCAAGGATTGAACCTACAAGCTTGACATATCAGGATGACACTCTACACAGCTGAGATACCTGGTCATTGCTCTGCATTTTTTTAAGGCAGATCTTGTGAAATGCTCCCAATACAACCCTCCAGCCAACTGCCATGGTCAAAGTTAGGTGGACAATTTCCCAAGCTGTAATCAGATCCAATGTTAGTGTAGCTGTTTGTGACAAGCTTTGAAGTGAGTCCTCCCATTCACCCCTTATCACTAACTTCCTTTGACTTGTGAGAAAATCGAGATCTTTCTGTTAAAGGAACTGGGCAAAGTTCACAATTGCATGCAGAGTGGTGCTACAATCAAACATGTTGTCTCCCACCAAAATACTTGATTTCTCAACAGCTGGTCATGGCTTACCCCCAAGATTTTGAATCCTTCCAAACCATCTAGGCCATTGACCCAAAAGTGTGTCACATTTTCATAATATATCAAAACTGGTGATTGAATCGTTATTTCTGGAATCCCAAGTGTTGATTAAAACAACCTTGATTATGTGTGAAACATGAGGGTGGGATTTGTATCCTCCCACATATCTCAGCGATATAACTACCAGGTAAGAGTAAAATTATAGCTTTATGGTTTTCTGCAAGCATAACAATATACATAATTAGTTCTAACATTTTAATAAAGAAAGAAGAAATGGGGAATGCAATAATACACTTCAAAGTCTTTTATGGTTGGGTAGGAAAATACAATTGAAAGAGCTGTAATTAGCTGTATGTGTGTTTTTACAACATACGATGCTATGAAGGTTGTTTCCCAGAAAATTAATAAAGTATCTTACCAGTTGTGTATTCTCCTATAAGCCATGAGACTTGAATGGATATGACAATATTATTTAATATTCATTTGGCATAACGACTCTCTAGGTGGCTCTTGTGAATGGCTGTATAAAATTCGAGAACCTCTGCCTGTCATCAAAGGAGGAGGTTGCAGTAGGCAAGGCTGATGAGAAGGTTCCCATTTCCATTTTCCTTTCTCAGATTGCAGGCGTGTTTTCCTATGGCTACTATGACACTCTTTTCATGAGGAAGTTTGGGGAGATATAAGAAATAATGGTTCAAGGATCCTCACAGAGCATATCAATGACTTGAAGGGTGGTCTTATGTGAAGTACCTGATGAGTTCCTGTCTTAAAGTAATTTTATCCAAGGATATAATGACAAATGAAGAAAAGAAAGTTCAAATGCTCATTTTCAGCACTGTTAGTAATGGGTTAAGACCCACAAATCCATGAGAGGATTCTTTGATTTACCACCAAAATAAAACATGAAGTAAACAATAAGTTTGCTAAGGTGATGATAGCTGGTTACTTGAATCAACTATGAAAGAAATCATAAAATAGCTTGTTCAGAAAAACTCCAAGTAAATAACGTATTTTTATTAGTTTGTGTTGGTTTGAGTAACATCTTATCCAGTGCATTAGAATCCAACCAGTGAATTTTGCAGTTGATGTCAAACCTACGATGCTATGTTAAAAATGTTCTTAAAATCATGCAGCTGGTAGTCACACAATTTAGTCAAGGTAAAATAAACATCCATATCTATTTTTAGTATAATTTAGAGTATTTTCTCTAGTTTCTATTTATTAAGATTTTTAAAATATTTAAAATGAGTTTTTAAATTATGTGTGTAGTCATTTAAGGTATTTTACATGGAAGTATCTGCGGAATATATTAAAAAATATGTAGCAGTTAGTCCAGTTCCTGAAGACATCATCCATTTTAAAGGGATGTCTACCATAATCTCATTTAAACTTGTAGGGGAGGAAAAATTTTTTCTCTACCCTTGTGAGTCTTGGCTAAAAGCCTTGTAATAAAAAAAGAAGCCTTGACTGGTGTGGCTCTGTTGGTTGGGCACACAAAGCAAAAGGTTGCTGGTTCAATCCCAGATGAGGGCTCATGCCTAGGCTGCAGGTTCTGTGCCTGGTTGGGGAGCATACAAAATGTGACCTATCAAAGTTTCTCTCTCACATGGATGTTTCTCTTCCTCTCTCTCTCCCAGCTTTCCCCGCTCTCTAAAATCAATACACATGCCCTCAGGTGAAAATAAAAAAAAAATTAGCAAGAAAAAAATAACCAGAATTTAATTAACATGTTTGCTTTATGTATCCATGAGAGAGACCCAGGAACAACGGATAAATCCAAGAGGTGGCTTAGAACTCTAGCTTGTACGGCATCTTCAACCAAGAACTGTAAAGTCGTGGGGAAATGTCAGGGCAATGAAGAGCAGTTTTAGTCTTCTAAGAGTGGTGAACTGTAGGAAGGTAGACAAATAGATGAAGTCTAGTTAGTAACATTTATGTAGCTGTTTTAGGTGCCTTCTCCTGGCATGGAAGGTCTAAATTTGTCTTCTGGAATTACCTTTTGTCATTCCTGTTCGAGAGAAGAAACTCTTGCAAATTTATATTTTGCTTTTGTGCAAGTAGGTGGCTCCGAAGGAGCTTTTCTAGCATCTGTTTCTTTTCTGTTGCCTTCAGCTCCAAACAATCCTCGGACCAACATGGCATATTTTGGTACAATATATCTGCTACTCTTCACTATCAAAAGAACCACATCTCTGTTTTTTGTCTCCTTTGGAAATTGGCAGTCATTGCGTGAGGGATGACATTTTTATTGTAGATTCCAAAATACCACTTTTTCTCCTTTAAATGCATACGGTTTGTAGGAAATTAACTCAAGATAATTACAGATGAAATTGTACCTATGCACACATGCTTGTGTTTAAACAGCCAATAAGTTATTCTACACAGCACAGTTGAAAAATCTCAGTGGGAAAAAAAAAAGGGGGGTGCACATGTTTCCATAAACAGTTGCACGGATTGCAAATCCACAGGGCAAGTTTGGATCACTGGCAATATATGTTTTGTATATGAATATTTAAAAATGAATGCTACATCTGTGAGTGAGGAATGCGTTGATCCCTTTTGATTTGAGAACATAAAATTTGGATGGGATCTAATGAATGTGCATGGACAGGAAAGTTAAATGTTTGTATTAATTAGTGCAACTGAAATATGATTAGCGAACTCCTAACTTTGCAGTGGCCACATCTAACATGTTACAAGCAAGTAGACATAGGGAAATAAATGATGTGGGAGTGTGAGCAGACATCTCTACATTTATTCAGAGTCCAGGCCTCCCCCTCATGCCTGATCAGAAAACTCAAACTGCACTCATTCTATAATGATAGAATATGAAAGCAGATCTCTTTTGCTATATAACATTTGATAATTGTCACTAGTCGAAGTCCCTGAGCTTCGGTAACTTTCTGTTTGAATCCCATTTTTTAAAAAAATAAGCATAATTTCTGGAAATAAATTGACCAGTTTATTGAAAAAATCTAAGCGTTGTAGCCGCAGAGATGTGTTTGTTTTTCTCTAATTGAACCTTCAGTTGGATGGTGTTGAGTAATTCATTCCATTCCAGGACACAATGTCCCTTCAATACCATTGCCTTCTGGTTAAAGTAAATGGAAGGAACAGTCAGCCTCAACTCGATTGACTAGTTTTAACATTCTTTAAAATGTTTCAAGTACAGTTGCCATTCAGTATGCTTTATATTAGCTTCAGGTGTGCATCATAGTGCTTAGATACTTACATAATTTACAAAGTAACGCCCTGATACGTCTAGGGCCCATCTGAAGCAGTCCATAATTATTACAACATTACTGAGTATATGCCGTATGCTGAACTCTAGGACTATTTTGTAACTACCAATTTGTATTTCTTAATCCCTTCACCTTTGTGCTGTGGGTTGTGACCGAGTCCTACCTCCTGGAGCCTGGGACTTTGGTCTCATTTAGAAACACAGTCAGGCAGGTGTGTTCATGCCAAGATGAGCTCCTATTGGATTGGACTGAGCCCTAAGCCAGGGCCTGATGAGCAAATAAGAAGGAAGAAATTTGGACAGAGACACACAGAGGGATGATAGCCATGTAACACCGGAGTCAGCTCTTTGGCCAATGCATTGACATTCCAAGAAACACATAGAAATGCCAGCAAACCACCAGGCCCTGAGAGGTACGTGGTGTTTTCTCTTTCCTAATTCCCCAGAGGCACCAGCCCTCTGCCTCTGTGGTCTTCGTTTCAGACCTCTGGCCTCCAGACCTAGGAAAGGATAAATGTATGCTGCTTTAACGCTCCACATCACAGCACTTTGTTATAAGGGAACCAATGCATCTCATTGAATTGAAGCTTCCCTTTCTTGCCCCAGTGCTTGTCATGGGGTGGACATGCCATGCCAGACGCCCTCTCTATCGCCCCCACCCACCCCCTTCCCAAGAATGAAGAAGGACGATGCTTCCTTCACTTCAGAGCTGCTGTCAGGCACTTCTTTGCATTGAGCCCACGGATTATGTGACCAGCGTGCAAAAGCTGGTTTCCTCAAGAGGTGCAGGGACAGGGAGGTTTGGAGAGAGTTCATCATTCTGCAGATGGGCGAGGAGGTAACTGAGACTGTTCTGGAGCAGGTGCGAAGCAAAAATCCTTCTAGTTTCTGGGGGAAATTTCTGTTACCCCAGTGTTTGAAGTTCAAGGAACTTTCCCTGTGAGACTTTCACCTGTCTATTCCAGAAGAATCAAAGTCAGGAGTGAATCCATGCATTTGTTGCTAGCTTTTCTAAGATGAGCAAGCAAAAACATTTGTTCATGCATGATTTGCACGTTGTGAAAAAAGGCAAAAAGGTTGAGAAATATAAATTGATAGTTATAGAATAGTCATGGGGATGTAAAGTATAGCACAGGGAATATAGGGGATGCTATTCTAGTAACAATATATGGTGTCCAGTGTGTGCTAGTCTTATCAGGGTATTTTTTTATAAGTTATGCAGGGTCCGGCAGAAGGGAGGCCTGCTTGAGTGTGGTTGGTAGGGTAATAATATGGGTGTAATAATTTATAGTTGTAATTTGAACATGTCACTTAAAATGTCCTAGGGTATGCTTGAGTGTGATATTGTTATGTTACAGAATGGCATGCTTATCATTTTGTAATAAAAGATTTTGTAATAAAAAAGGGGCATTATTTGTGCCAGACCTTGTGTATAAATTTCTAACACCTAAGTCGTACACCAGGAACTAATAGAAAATAATTTTAACATCAATGATAATTGAAAGACAAAAAAGAAAAAAGAAGGCGGGTAAACATCCATAATGTTTAACTTCTTTTTTTTTTTTAAGTTTTTCCATTACAGTCGACACGCAATGTTAACGTTAGTTCCAGGTGTACATATGCATCCAGATTTTTAACTTACAGACTGATCTAAATATTTATAGGAGCCCAAGCCTGTTGGTTAAATGAAAGTATGGGAAGTGAAGGGCATATCAATGGTTTTTCTGAGATCCCCAAAGGTTATACTTCTCTCTGTTAAGGCAAAAGGTGAAATATGACGCCCTAAGATTCAGATAGTGATGAATATGTTTACATTTTTATTTAAAAAAAAACCACTGTGTTATATTTCTTCCTAATAGAGTCTGAATAGTGCAGGCACCAGGAAGAGGAAGACCACATATCATCACATTGTTTAATGAACTGCAGAGGGTGTCAAAAGGACGGCAGTAAATTCCCTGAAAATTGGGCATTGCCAGGAGAAATTTGGACCCCCTTCAAGATAATTGCAGAAGAAAATGCCCCCCCTCCGTGAGTTAATAACATATCCTTACTAAAAGCTGAAGTGGCCATAATTTCCCCTTCCCAACATGGAATCTCTCTCATGAACGCCTGGTGATTTACAGATCTGCTGGGGCCTGTCTGATTTGCATGTTACATGAGCAGAGCACTCATTCCCAATTCTACACTTGGTAATGGCAGCTGCCCTTCCAACTCCCTGCTTTGCTCTTCTGACGGTTCTAAAGGCAGGCCCTGGTGACATGGTGTGACATGCCCCACCCACAAACCCGTTGGTGCATTGAGGACAGAGGTCACACTGGCAAATACTGCATTAATAACAATCACTTTGTAAGTTTATTCTTATTGTACAAACTGAGTATTTAGAGTTTAAAGTCTCTACCCTGCCTGGGTAGCTCAGTGGTTCAGAGTGTTTTCCTGATAACAACAAGGTCGTGGGTTCGATCCCTGGTCAGAGCACATACAAGAATCCACCAAAGATGCATCAATAAGCAGAACAACAAATTGATGTTTCTCTCTCGGTCTTTCTCTCTGTCTCTCTCAAATCAATCAATAATTTTATAAAATAGCATACATTCTCTAAATCACATAGGAAAAATATCACATCAAGTGGTTTCCATCATTGTTGCAAAAAATTAGGAATTATTAAAATTCTGGTCTAAATCCATATAACTACTATTTAAGAATTAGTTAGCAGCTAGAGTCATGTTGTCTTCCCATATTTTCAAGTATTATTTCTATTATACTGAACAAATAAAATTGGAGTTAAATGTGTATTTGCTTCAAGTGGAAATTTCCTAACAGGCTATTAATTATTCTTATTTTTTTCCCCATGTAAAGCAGTTAGGTTAATTGCTCCTTCTTAATGAACAGTATGGTGATTTTGTAATTATAGATAGGGATTATTAGATCAGTGGGATTTTTTTTATTGATCAAATAATTTGTATGTTTATTGATCATATCTAGAATTATTCATAAGAAACAGGCAAACATGATGTCTAGACAAGATACAATAAAATGGCCTTGCTGGCATTGGAGGCAATCGCTTTCTTATTTGTTAACAGTTACAACAAACACAGGTAAAAGGAAATGTATGCATGCTTTTCCTTATTCATCAGTCTCATGACATGGCAGCATTCCTAGCTCAAATAATTTAGAACATTCTCCAGATTCTCAGAAAATCCAGCTGAAATTATCATAGTCAATTTCACAAATAACCTGTTCAATAGGATTTTATACTGTTCAATAGGATTGTGTAATTTACCTGCACTTATTATCATTTAAAACTCTTGCACTACCTCAACATTATCCTCGTGTGTGTTGGGGAGGCACTAATTCTTGATTGGTGAATGTTATTTGCAATACTTCACCATAATTCACTCAGGTACATTTTGGACTATTTACAATGTTCTCTGTGCAGTGGGAGAATGATAAAACAATTCCACGAAATTTCTCCAGTAAGGTAACTACAAGGAGTCACCAAATTAGCTAAACTGACAGAGAAGGATGATACCACAGTGCAATGCAGTTAAAGGATGATCAAAGCATGGAGGTCGGAGAGAGAGACCAGGGACCTATCACAGTCTCCTGGTTGAAGCACTTCTGCTCCTGTACAACATTTTCTCCATTAAAAATAAGTATTACAATTATATTTCATTGGTTCCATTGATTTAAAGATGGATGGAAGTCCTCATTGGCTCTTCCGTGATCCTAAAATGTGATTATTCTTGGGATGTCAGTAACTAGTGGGTCATTTTATTACCTGACCCTAACTGCCTTTGAAGGGACAGAGAAGACCCATGTAGGGATAGAAGAGTATAGGGAAGCATAGAAATATCATTTGCCATGTCTTACCAATTATGTGTGTGCGATGGAATAATAGCCCCATAAAAATTCCCAGGGGTTCATGAAGATGTCAGAGGTATACAGAAATGGCAGGAAAATGCAATGCAAGGCTTGGAGGAACATATATTTTTAAATTACCTATTGCGTGTGTTGTATTTCTTATATGTTTAAGGGTTTCCCAAAGGCATTGGGTTTAATAGAAATCTCTCCTTGCTCCTTTGTTCAGACCATGCATGCAGTGTTTATTCTAGCCCGAGTGGAAGACTTCAGAAATATACCTGAGAAAAACAAGCATCTATTGCCCATAGTAAGAGCAAGACATATTCGATTTGACGAGGATAACTTAAAGAACTGGAATTTGCACAAACAGAAATGTGAACCCAGTTTAAGCAGAGATACATCCCTGAGAGTATGGGGAAAAGGCCTCTTTGTTATGAAACTGAAATCTCTCCCTGGTGTTGAGGGTATGATTTTTTTTCTAAAAATAGAAGGAATTGAAGAAAAAAAAACCAACAAAAAACAAAGAATACTTTCCAGTGGCCAGTTCCAAAAGAGCACACTTCATCTCATTTTTGCAGAGCGACTGTTATGATGATGATAAATATCTGTAAACAGCTCGTGTGTTTTGAATTGCAGAATAGGGACTTCTGATTTCAAACAAGTTGAAATAACAGGCACTAGATGTTAGTCCCAAGGAAAACAAATTTGATAAGAAAAAATTATAGATATATAGTTACATAGATATCCTTATTTTAACATGTGCCTCAATTCTGAGGAAACACATGCGATGATAAGACAATTGGAAGAGTTGGAAACTAAATGTAAGTTTGTATATACATAAGAGAGACACATGTCCCCACCTCCAAGTTCAGTGGGAAGAAAACCTAAGCCAGAGAACATGATTCCAATATCCTATTTTGGACTAAAGAAATAATTAGACCTTTGAAGAGAAAAGTAGTTGTTAGACTATCTTCAGAAATAATTACTATGGCATAGCAACCAATTTGGGAGGAAACAGAGAGAAAAAGAATCAGCATAACACGTTCATTCATTAAAATTTAAATAAGTGTCAAACCTCACTGTGAAAAACAAATACCGCACACATTCAAAAGAAAATGCTAGGGGACATCTTTGTAATTGGTGTAGAAAATAATGTCTTCATCCAAATACTGTAGCACCTTCTACAAAACAATACATTGGGAAATATCATTGCATAAAAATTCTCGTATTTTGTAAGACTAAAGCACTGTAATTATTTGGGAAAATATACACCCAAACTTTAGAATTGAGCCCCTGGGCTTTCCTCATCTCTCATTGAAAGCCTTAGAGAAATTTTCATTCATGCCAAAAATGAGATAAATTCATGCCGTGATTTATTGTAAAGCATGCTTTACAAAATCTGCCTTTGATGAATCCTTTTATATGCTTCCCTCTAGCCTTTTTGTAACTGTTTAAAAACCCCTACCTGGTGGAATTACATTCACTTGTTGGACTGTGTAATATAACAAGTAGTCAATCATCGTTGTAGAAAGTTAGACCATTGTGTGCCAAATAAATCTGATTAAGGAAGCACAGCATCATCTTTGTTGAGGATGGTTTTCCTTATTTGTCCCTTTTCAGTGGTTCTTTATATATCTCTCAGGTGAAACTCACTGTTTCTAATTTTCAGGGCATGCCCATAAAAAACGCAAAGGCAACTTGTAGATGCAAGTGAATAAGGTGTGGGAACATTTAGACCTAGCAACGTCCCTAAACTGGATCATCTGAGGGGAGTTGTACAAAGGAAAATAAAACACTTTGGAAAAGAAGATTGGCTTTGGATTCTGTTAACTAAACGGGTCCATTCTGGAGAAATACATATTGCGAGTACACCCATTAAAGTGCTGAGGAAAAAAAAATATTGTAGGCCATGTTTTCACACATTTTTATGGCTATTGCATGTAAAACTTTGCAGCAAAACATTGACATTTTTCTTGTTCCTCCCTTGAACTTTCATATCCCTATGAAGTCAGGATTCCCAGTTAAGTCACTGCTGAAGTAGTATCACTCAAAATCACATTTGTCCTGCTCTTACTTAGGAAACAGAGCCTAAAAGGGGGGTCCAACCCATGGCCCACAGGCCACGTGCCGCCCAGCATGAGTCTGGATATGGCCCAACACAAAATCATCAACTTATTTAAAGTATGACTAGATTTTTTTTTGTGATGATGTGTCGCAATGCATTTAATGTGTGGCCCGAGACAAAATACATTTGGAGCAAGGGAAACACCTCGATGAAATTGACCATCTACACTAAACCTCTTTGTATCAACAGGTTGGTTTTGGAATGCCAAGTGTATATACCTCTATATGCTTCTCAACAGTGTGAATAAGATGGAAGAGGGGAAAATCCTTCCTGCACAGTATTTTTTTTTATCTTCCAGAAAATTTACTCTGATGCGTACTTGCTACTAAAGTTTCATCATTAAGATTGACCCAGCAAAATACATCCCTATTCAAAAGCAAACATCGTTTTTCTGGACACGTGATGAGATTTATTCGCAATCAAGGAAATCGTTAACATTCCTGCCCATTTCACGCTATCAAGAGCTTCATAGAAAACCCCAAGATGCCATAGCAACAGGATAATGTTGATACTGAATAGGAATCTATAAAAAGAGGTGAAGCAAATTAAATATAAAAGTGTGTGATTTGCCGTGTGAGGCCATGAGGACCCTTTCACGTCTTCACAAGAGAACAGACCTGTTGGAAGAGGGCAAGGTGGGGGCAAATTTGGGTTGAAACGTGGGAAAGTGTTCAGGAATGCCCACCCTGTTGACTTCTTCATTCTGTTTCTGGGGAGAAGAAGTGCTTTCCAGGGAAACGTTATCAAGCTTCAAGAATGCTTACTGTAAACACTACATGAAAGAACAGTAAAAAGTCAGTGAACAAACAAGATATGATGCTTTGGGAAATTTGGGTGATGTCTGAGTAGAGAATACAGCCCTCACTTACCCTGTCATCTTAGACTCAGACACTCAGAACAACTCTTACATCAGCCTGTCAGGAATCCATCAAAAATTTCTCTGGGCAAATAAATGAACCCAGCTATAAACTCACGTGTTCGCAGGTCTTTACACAACAGACATCTCACCAATCCATCCTTTTCTCTCGTTTCCCATGTTTGAAAGCTGTTTTGCTGAGCAGGATATTCCCATGCCTATCTTGTCTTCATGCAGAACAATCCCCAAATACATATTTTTTTCATGGCACGCATGTGTTTCTGACGTATCAGGAGTGAACTATGCACACAACTGATTCTATATTTAAAAATGCAGCTAGCTACCTGGTGCATATCATTCATCAATGTGCAGATACGAGTGGCATGAATTCCTAGCAGTGGGATCCTGGGTCAGTGATAATGTTTGTGTGTATTTACAAAACCTCCTTTGTCAGAACCAACTCTAGCAGATGGGAATTGCACTGAGAAAGGACAAAACACTGGCTAACAGGAGCTTTAGCCAACACTGGAGAGTTCTGCACAACTGATTGGTGGGAAAAGATGAACTTAATGTACTTGGAGGATTTCTTTTTTTGTTCATGGTTCTGTGTACTTTATAGGAATAATAATAATTTATAGTCCAGTTTTTGTCAGTGCCGTGCTAACTTCCACTGAACCTGCTTTATATTGTTTTGGACTTTTTGTAGGCATATACACACTTGAAGGAGATACTCGTGTATTTGGAAATTAGCCTCTTGTAATGTGATTTGGAAACATATTTCCAGAGTGTTGCTTGCTTTTCAAACATAACTTCTGCCATAAAGACTATTACAAAACAATTTTAAGTAAGTTTATGGATACTTTATGGCTATTGGTTTTTAAATTCTAATTAAAAGCTTTTCCACACTAAGGTTCAACAATCACATATACAAAACAAACACACATACAGAGTTCTGTTTTGAAAACTATTGCATTATTATGTACGAGGACTATACTCATGCAATAGTATAGATTATGCCTCTAAGCATTATACGATTATAAGCATATGTTTGCAATAAATATTTATCAGGCATCGTTTATCATTTATAGTTTCATTAGTCAATGTCACTTCAATCAATTCAATTGATAATGCAAAAAAAAAAAAAGAAATATCACCTTTTTACATGACTTCCCACAACTAAATTGACATGATCTCTAATTACAACAAATTGGCTAGTAGAAGGTGGCAACAGAAACTGAGGTTTAACTTTTTGTTCAATTAAAAGTGGATATTTCTAGAGGTCTAATTGGGCTGGTGGTGGTTAGAAGCTGTTCAAACACAGTTTTGATCACAGGGGTGGACGAACATCTAAGCAGAATGAACAAAGAAGCATAAGAAGTATTTTTAAACTAGATTTCCCTTATCTTCCTTACACATTGTTGAACACACATCCACCTATTCTATCTCTGTGTCATATATAATATATTGTTGACCAATAGGGAAAAATGATAACTTTAAATTGATAAAAATGCACATCACAGATATGAGTTGAAAAATATTTACAGAGAGCAGAAATTGGTCCTCAAGTAGTGCCTAGGTAGAATGGAAACAAATGGAATACCCATAAAAATACATATTAGTTACTACCGGAAAATAGGAGAGGCTAGAAATTAGTGAATCAGTCACTTTTCACCATTGTAAACATTAGGTTCACATTTTCCTTAAAGATCAAGGCCAAATGCAGTTAAAACATTTTTTTTATAATTGTGAAAATCTACTGTCTGTTTAGTGACTTAGGATGCTAGAAAAGGTACATTAATTTTTTTTTATTTAATTGTTAAGTAACTGATAGGGTTTGGGACAGCCTGTATAATCACAAATCCCCTAATTCTTCATGTGGGGATGTTTCATGTTTTCCCTCCAATACTGGAAGACATTCTAGTTTAGATATATGTGTATCTGTACATATTTCATGAAATACAACTGAGCATTTATTTTTTCCATTTACTTGGACTTGCAATAGAACAAAAAATATAATGGGCTGCATTTTTATCCCACTGGTAATTCTCAGCCCAGTATAAATTATTTTGTGATTACAATAGAATGTCCTTCCAAATCCAGCAAGAGGGGTCCTGTTCCTAACTGTCTCACTAGCTGCATCTTATGAGAAAAATGAAATCGTTTCATTGAAAAGAATGACGACTTGTATCCTATAAAGAACACGGCTGAAAATCACTGAAATCACTGAGTCTTTTCTGGCACAGATAAAAAATTCTCAATACATATATTTTAGTGTTGTGGAATATCTATATCTGTAAGAATTGTGTAGGATATCACCATTTGTTCTCTCTAAACCATAAAAGGATAAAATAAATACAACTTTACAATCATTAGCACTTATATTTCAGCAATAAATATACTGTATAAATTACTTACTGGAAAACCTGCTGAAGTTTGTTTATTTTTTTAAATGAAGTTTTGCATATGTTAGTTAGAGTTTATAGTTGAAAGTGTTACCAAAATGTTTTTTAATGAGCAACTTCCCTTTTATATAAAGTAATTTCTATATGACAGAAGTAAATACCATCTCACCTTAGTTTCCTAGATTTCAATTCAGAAGATATATTTAAAATGTTGGTTTTATAAAACAGAATAAAGAGAAGCATTGTTGAAAATATGAGCAGGAACATGGAAGAAAAACATGACAGGGTTCCACCGCAGACACTGCAAGCGTCCTCTTGAACGGGATGTCCAGTGACTCTAAGATGGTCCTGCCCAGGCACGAGTGGGGTCCATAGGAAAGGGTTACTCCATTGGGTGGCATGGAGTTCGGTGTGAGGTGTCCACTGGGCTTGGCTGCAGTACCCAGTGATCCACCTGAAAACGCACCTAGGCATCCTTGACGCCGTTTCACACTTGTGGTTAAGGTCTGTGATGAGTTCCCTGGTAGTCAAGCCAATTGCTCTCATGTGAGTTGGACTCATCCAGCCAGCTGAAAAGACAGGAAAGGTAAAAAGTGCTGTCTCCCCGAGAGAGACAAAGGTCTGGTCCAAGGCGCTCGGTCGAACTATCCCAGCCTGCCGCCTCGCCCTGCAGATTTTAGACTTGCCTGATTCTGGGAAATGCAGAAGTAGTCCTTGAAGTCTGAGAGGTAGAGGGATGATAGGTAAGTGCATAAAGAGATACATAGACCCATTCATGACAGATACATAGATGAAAATTAAATAGATAGATGATAGATAGATAGATAGATAGATGATAGATAGATAGAGATACATAGATGAGATAGATGATAGATGACAGATAGTTACATAAATCCATATTGTTAGGTAGGTAAATGGATGCATAGATTAATGACAAGTACATAGATAGATGACAGATAGGTAGATAGACCCATAGATGATAAATAGATAGATCTATAGATGACAGATAGATCAACAATTACATAAATCCATATTGATAAGCAAGTAAATAGATACATAGATATTGTAGGTGACAGGTAGAGAGAGAGATGACAGATAGATAGATAGATGCATATATGATTGATTGATAAGTCTGTAGATGATAGATGATGATAGAGATAGATGATAGATAACAGGTAGACAGATGCATCTATAGATGAGAGAGAGATGAGATTGATGAAGTAGATACAGATCAGTACAGGAAGGCTGCCTGAGGGATGGTGGAGGTCATGTTTAAGGAAATGTGAGGACATTTTCTGTCAGTTCTATGGTGAGTTGACTGTACATTCCTTCCCCATTTGGACCCTGGGGCAGGAAAACGCAACTTTACCTCTACCAGTGTTTTCTTTAGCTATCGTGCTGCCTGAAAATACATGCCCTCAGTTACCTACATTGGAATGTTGAGATGCTACAGGAAGTCCCCTCTTGTTTGTATCCATGAGCCTGGGGTTTAATTGGTTTCAGGATACATCATTTCCCCCATGTTCCAAGCACTTACTGAAGATGTTAAGGTCTTGCTGTATATTTCAGATATTATATGAAGGAAATCTATCCAGATACAGTTATTATTTGTAGTGTTTTTTTTTTCTTTATGATAGCCCGTGCACTCATCGTTCTTTCAAAATAAGTAAATACCAAGTAATAACACTGCATCCAGGTAACTGTGCTATGCCATTGGCTATCAAGGAGAATGCAAGTTGGATCGGTAGATAAAGCTGTTAAGAAGACTTTGGTATGGGCTCAAGCACAGAACATTAGGAAATTCTCAGAAAACAGTGTCAGGAGACATCAGCTGATGCACTCGTACTGATTTATGCGATGCGAGAGAATCCTCCATTCTGACTCCAATGGGATGTTTCCTGGGCTCATTTGAACAAATGCATCATTTAACCAAATTTCAAGTATTCCAGGCACAAAATGAATAGAGAAGCACACTCCGATTTCCCTCCACCCCCCTCCGCCTTTGGTCCGATGTATTTCTAATCAAGATCCATTATTCAGTTCTCCATTTAAACGACTATTCACACAGTCTGCTGCTCCCACTCAGAAGTCATCATGCCTGATTTCTCTGTCAGGCGAAGTAGATTGTTCTAGCGAGGTTGTTAGAGCCTGAATTTTAACGCAGAAGAACAAAGACTAGGATGCGGAGGACTTCCCAGAATCTCGCCACACCCAACCTTTTTTATGAATCTTCTTTTGCTCCTACCTGTTTTTTCTTGGTCTCACTGAATTCAATGATGTTCATGTACAATGATCCATCTCAGACGTGTGGATGTGCACAGTTTCTAAGACCCTTCCCATTTTACAACAATAGTGTCACCTGTGATCATTATTATTGTAATTCTGCCACCGACTTAACACCAGTTCTGACCGGGTAGGTGGGAAGAGGGGCTTCACATTTTGCATCTCCCACAAGCCCTCTTATGGTGTGGATGCTGCAGGTCGAAGGACCATTTTCTGTATAGCAGCAAGACCTCACTGTCCCAGTCACACAAACTTCTCTCTTCGAGGTGAGGATGGGCTATCCAGTACACAAACAATATTTTGTGAAAATTGTGTGAAAACAACGTGGAGATCTTTGAGACACAGCAGGTTTCCTAGAATTTTGCATCAGAATCACATGATCCCTCAGCACTTATGGCTTTTCCAAAAGCATGGCCACTCATTTACATCAGGGGGGCTATTGAAGGCAGTACTGAAGTCTGGAGGGCAGAGGAGCAACAACCCTTACCAAGACATTGAACTTTGAGAGGGCAGGGCACTCAGCGTATTTTCATGTGAGTGTTCGTGATACAATGAGCTTAAGTGTGGAGGAAATGCAACTCTGAAAACTGCTTCCTTGGGGAGTTGAACAGGCGTCTGCAAACACAGGTTTGAACGGCGTTGCGCTTCAAACATGTTTCCTCTCATTCTGGATGTAAAGGCCTCTTTGTCCAATGTTTGATCCCAGGAGTTCCAGAGCTCAGGTGCACAAGAGCCATCAGTTGTTAAATTGTCACAGTTACAGCTCGCAAGGAATTGCACTTTAGTGGGGTTGTGCAGGAGGGAAAGTCCAGTCGCTGAGACTTCCATCAAGGCAGCAGAATTGTGCCCCATCCCTCATCCAGTGAAGAGAAAGATCCATGCAGGAAACAGGCATTTGGAAACATCCCTAGAACACCCTTATCTGTATATGGGTATTTCTAGATGAGGTATTTTAAAGTAAACAGAATATGTAATTTCTCACCTAAAATACTACATGTCAAGTACTCAGTAGATGCATGTGAGTAGTAGCTCCCCTACCACACAGAGCAGATACAGAACATGTTCAAAATCACAGGATATTCCAGTGCACAGCATTGATGTCACCCAGATTATTTATGGTCACTTATTTACCCCTCAGCTCCTTTACCACACACATACATACAACACACGCCTTACTCGGTGCCCATAGATAGAGGCATCACAGTTCTGAGCAGGAGCAAGGATATGCAATCTCTGCAAAAGACTTCTCCAAACAAAATATAAGTGAATTATTTTCATTACAGAAGCAGAGTCCTTGAATACAGTGAATCCCAGTTGTGATTAAACTAATGGGACATTTATTCACATTTGCAATTGTGTAGAACAGTACATGTTTTGAATAGAAAATAAGAGAAAATTTGGGTGCAAAGACACTTTTTCTAATTCAGTGCCTCAGAACGACTAGAGCAATCTGCTTTTCTTGAATTTTATAATTCTGATGTTTTCAGTGAAACACAATGAAGGACATTCTATTACAGGTTTTAAACGCACACCCATGT